CCCCAAAGCTCACCCAGGGATGGCTCTGGAGCCCAACCAAGACCCTCCAAATTCCCCGCAGATCCCCCAGCACCCCCAGCCGAGGTCACTGCGGGCTCAGTTTCCCCAGCCCAGGGTCCCTGGCTGCTGCTGATCTCTGCCCCCACTCTGGGGGCTTCCCCTCACTCCAGGACCCCCATCCACCCCACTGTCACCCACCCCGGCGGTGCCACCAGAGACAGCCCCCGACGACAGCCAGGAGCAGGAGCAGGAACAGGAGGGTCCTGCTGACATTCACAGCCACTGCTGGGGACAGAGGGGGACACACCGGGGTCACCCTGAGCCTCGGGGGTCCTGAACAGCCCAGTGTCCCCGTGGGACCCCACCTGTGAGCCAGAGAGAGCCAGGTGTCACCTCCAGGGCCATCTCCATACTGAGAGCATGGAACACGCGGTGCCCATCCTGTCCCAGCCGGTTGGTGGCCATGCACTGGTAGGTGCCTGAATGTGCCACCTTGACGTCCCCAAGCTCCAGGAGGGGACCCTGGGCCACCTTTGTCCCATTGTGCAGCCAGGTGAAGGTGACAGGGGCTGAGCCCACCTGCACCGAGCAGTGCAGGGTCACGGTGTCACCAGCGCGCACCTGGTGTGCCAGGGGACCGGGGGTGATGGTGGCATTGGCCACGGGCACTGCGGGGACACAGACAGGGCTGGCACCGGGCGGGGTGGGATGGGGGTGCCGTGGGTGGGGTCACCCCCAGCGCGAGGGTCCCGCTCACCCAGCACAGTGACATTCAGGGGGTCACTCTCGGCCACGCTGTCCCCGTTGCTGACCCGGCACCGGTACTGGCCGCTGTCATTGTCCCCAACGTGCCGCAGCTCCAGACGGGGCCCGGTGCCCAGCGGTGCCCCCGAGCCCTCCCGGTGCCAGGAGAAGGACAGGGGACCTGTCCCCTTGGCCACCACGCAGCTCAGCACCAGGCGGTCCCCAAGTGCCACCTGTGCCCCGGGGGGCTGCACCGACAGGGACACCCCCGAGGGTGGGACCCCTGCGGGAGGGGGACACCAGGGGACAGTGAGGGACCGGGGGAGAGGGGCAGGGGGACCCCAGGGAGGGAGAGGGGGGCAGAGATGGGGGGGCTTGGAAAGGAACCCTGAGGAAAGATGGAGGGTCCAGGGAGGGGACACTGGTAGAGGGTGGGGTGCAACACCAGGAGGGAGTGAGAGACCCCAGAGCGGGGACCTTGAGACCCGTGGATGGACCTCAGAGTGGGGTGGGGAGATCCAGGGAGGGGTGAGGGGACCTGGTGAGGGATGGGGAAATAGGAGCCAGGAATGGGGGACCTGGGAGGGACCCATGGCAGGGATGGCAAGACACAGAAAAGCTGTCGGGGAAGGATGGGGATACCCATGTAGGGCAGGGGAACCTGGGCTGGGAACTGTAAAAGGAGAGGGGGAGCCAGGGAGGGATCCCAAAAAGGTTGGGGGCCTCAAGGCAGGTGTCAGGCTCGGCTTGGGGTCCCTAACGAGGGGACCGGGGAGGCCGTGGGGGCTCCCCGTGCCCATCCCCGCACTCACTGCGCACCGTGACGCGGAGCCGGGCGCTGCTCTTCCGCACGGCCCCCCCCTCGGAGCGCACCTCGCAGCTGTAATTCCCCGAGTGGGAGACCCCCACTTTGGGCAGCAGCAGCGGCGGGGACCCCTGCGGGCCCCACACCACCTGCCCGTCCCGGTAGAACACGTGCAGGAGGGGGGCTCGGGGCCGCAGGGGGCTGGGGGTGCTGAGGCAGCTGAGAGCCAGGGGGGACCCCTCGGTGTGCTCGGGGGGACCCTCCAGCACCGGCACCGAGAAGAGCTCTGGGGAGGAGAGGGGAGGTGAGGATGGTGACCCTGAGTCTGCTGGGGAAATGGTTTTGGGGGTGCCAGGATATTGGAGTTCACGCTGTGGGGGGCTCACCCTGCACTGTCACTGTCACCAGTGCTGACTTCTTCCAACCCCAGTATAGCACCC